ATCATAATAATATGCTGGTCAGCTGGTGGGACGTCCTCTTAACTATTTTTTTTTTTTATAGTAACTACACATTATACAATATGATGATAATTACGTTATGAAGTGCTGCACTCTGTACTTATTTGTATAAACAATATACATTAATTTCAATGATAGAGGGCGCGCCCTGTGTTCTTGAAAATTTTACATAACCATTAAGAAATCTAAATCTTAACATTGTGCTATAGGCGAGTTGCCCGACCTGTATATAAGACCATGATCTCTACTATGAAAAATAGTGCAGCAGCAGCTCCTCATTCAACATGGCAACCTTGACTGCCTTGACCACAGAACAATAGACGTTATAACCGCGGAATTGGCATCACGGCTTTATCAATTTTATATCAAATGGTTACTCTGTGGTTTTAACCTAATCGAATACGTGTTTTTGATAAGATTGTCTTATCATCATAATATCTGCAATATTGTAAACCAAATAAGCAAATAAAATAAATGCAATTAAATTGATATAAATAGTAAAATACTGAGAAATAAAGATCGTTTATAATTTTCCATGCTCAATATGTAAAATTAACTTCGATACTGTGTTATAAGGTTATAACTTATATCTCGAGAATCAAAGTATTGAATAGAATTTTATTTTGTTATTTTTATTGACATTCATTAAAATAAATATTTGAATGAAATTCACCAACAGGTAAAAGAATTTTGAATAGTTTACAAAATATATACTTGAAGTTTGATAACAAATAGAAAGTAAATTTATAATGCCAGTGTCATCCGTGTACTACTGAAACTGAACCGTATACGTCATGTTACATTCATACTACAAAGCACAAGATGTATTTCAATTGTGGTGCTAATGCATAATTTAACTATACATTTTTTTTTTACTATTTTAGCGTATCATATTATTTAAATGACTACTCGAAGAAGACGAGGGAATTCTGATTCAGATCAACCGTTCACAAATAATTATACCTCTCAGGAGTCTTCTGTTGTTTATTTAGGAGAAAAAGAAACTGACAAAATTATGCCCCGAGATCGAACTGCTGAATTTAATAGTGCAGTCAGATCCCTTCAAGGTCGACAAATAGCAAGGGCTGTGCAAGTTCGAGATGTAAAAAAAGTAAAAGCTCTTCAAAGCTATGGAGAATTTATGATGATAGCCAAAAGTGTTGGCTACAACATTAGTAATACATATGCGAAATTAGAAAAATTGACGTTACGTAAGTTTCAATGAATTAATTAAGTTTTTCAATCATATTAAGTAATTCTTATTTAATTGTTTGGCACTTAGTTGTAAAATTTAAAAACTAAAAATTCAATATATCTGCATCCACCTATTATTTTATTTTTTAAACTATCTGCTTCCATAATTCAGTCTCAAAAAATAAAGTTATGAAATAACACGTTAAAAAGTGATTGGTACATTTGTAAAGTTGTTTGAATATTTTTGTTTAGTCAGCTGATGATGACCTAACCTAATGAAATATTAAACTTTATTGTACATTAATTTTTAATAAGTATTATGTTKTTATGAAAATTATATATATATATGAGTAATGTGCAAATGAACAATGGCAATTTATAATCCCGGATGAAAAGTCTGGGGACAAAAAGTCCGAAAATATAATTAAAATATTTTATTACATTGTCATCTATAATTATATTATATATAGGTATTTTATATTACACAAAACAAGTAATACAATACAAATATCGTCCATTACTACAGTAATATTAATAACTTAAATTAATTAAGTCAAAATAAACATGTTTTAAAAACTGTCAATATTACCTACATTAAATATAAATTATGTTTTCTATAACAGTGGCCTATACGATTTACAAACTCTTACTGCCAACTTATTAATATATATATTACTAGTTTTTTCCAGTGGCAGATCCAAGGGGGGGGGGSGATCGGCCCCCCCCCCTGTTCTCAAAAAAACCACATATCCATATAAAATGTATTGTGTATATTAATTATTAATTTTTGGAAACAGCCTCTATATTTACGTCTATGAAATATTACTGACCCCCCCCCGTTATTTTTGGCTGGATCTCCCCCTGATTTTTTCCCATAAATATTATAATTTAGAAAAATAGCATTACATGACATGGGACCCGTACGAAAAAACACATCAGAAAAAATATAAAATTACAATATTTATGTGAAAAAAAATAATAATAATAAGTTGACAGTAGAAGAGTTTTGAAATTGTATAGGTCACTGTTTAAGGAAACGTAATTTATATTAAATTTAGGTAATATTGCCAATTTTTTAAAACATGTTTATTTTGACTTAAGTAATTTAAATTATTAATATTACTATAATAATGTTCAATATTTGTATTGAATTATTTGTTTTGTGTACGAAATACCTATATATAATATAATTATAGATGAAAATTTAATAAAATATTTTAATTATATTTTCGGACTTAATGTCTCACAATAAAAAATTTGCTCGGACTTTATGTCCGACATTATAAAATTATAATAATTATAATTATAATTATATAAAATTAATCTGGACTTTTCGTTCTTTTTTTTCAAAATGGAGTTTTTGACCGATTACAAGCAATTTAAAATATCTGCAAAGTTCTTTCCATGCCATCAAACACATTTTTATCTTTGCATTACAATTTACTATCTAAATTATTAATTGAATTGTTGTTTTTCGTCAATATGATAATGTTGTAGTACCTATAGTTTTACTGTAATTTTCAATATGCTAATTGTTGCTTTAGACTACACTATATATTATATAAAAACAGCAATATAATAGTTATGACAATAATCCAGATATTTTGAATTACTGTTTTGAAATTACAAAGGTAGATAGATAAGAGAAAATATAATTGCAAAAAAGTCTATCTTATTGCTGCTAATAATTGTTTATGGAAATTTTATGTATTAATATAATATTTTTTAACAAACAATATTTAATGTATATTGCACTTATAATATTAAGTGATTATTAATTAAACATAATATTTAGTTGCCAAACGGAAATCATTATTTAATGATAGACCTCAAGAAATTCAAGAGTTGACATATATTATTAAAGAGGATTTGAATAGTTTAAATCAACAAATTGCAAGATTACAAGAAGTTGCTAAACTACAAAAAGCTACCCAGAATAATGTTGGACGAAAACATTTATTGTCACATGAGTCTAGTGTAGTATTATCACTACAGTCAAAATTGGCAAATATATCGAATGAATTTAAATTAGTTCTTGAAATTAGAACAAAGGTAAGTTTCTATTATTATTAGATATTATTCACATCTAAATTGTATTATGAAATTCCTTTTAGACAATTAAATATTTAATTATTTTCTGTTATATCTCCATAAATTAGATTCGTTAATGCCTTCCATTGTATTTTTTTAAATTTGATGTATATTGATTATATTAAAATGAATAAAATATTTGGTTTAGAATTTAAAACATGCCAAATCAAGAAGAGATCAATTTTCTCAAGGAAATAATTTAGCTGCATTATCGGACTCGTCATCTCTAGTTCCAAGGCAAAATTCTCTTTTAATGTCTAGTAATCAATGTGCTATCAACATGGATAATAATGGCGATCAAGATCGTCTACAGCAAGTCACACAGCAGACACAAGCATTGGCGGTGTATGATAATACTGTATGAACATATTAATTATACATAGACTAAAGAATATTAAGTTTAAAATTAAAAAAAAATTTTGACATATAGATAGAGTAAACTCTAAACAATGATCATATTCACTTAATACTCTCCAACCAGATTTTTAATAGATTTATATCATTATTTTTTAATAGGATCAATATCTTTATAGTAGAGCAGAAACTATGCAAAATATTGAATCAACTATTGTAGAACTAGGAGGAATATTTCAACAACTTGCGCATATGGTTAAAGAACAAGAAGAAATGGTTGAGAGGTGTGAAATAATTAATAACCTGAATCAAACAAATACATGTTTTTAAGAAATTAAATATTAAAATTTGTTGTTTCCASAATCGATTCCAATGTTCAAGATGCTGAACTGAGTATTGAAGCAGCTCATACTCAAATACTACGTTACTTTCAATCAGTGACTTCCAATCGATGGTTAATGATAAAAATATTTGGTATTTTAATATTTTTTTTTATATTTTTTGTTGTATTTATTTCTTAAACCTGCATATCTACTCTATTTTTTCATATCTAGACAAATTATTGTTATTAATCCATATGGCATATACTGTTGTCCAATTTTAAAATTATGAAATATCTGTAAAATAAATAAATACTAAATAACCTATTATTACAATTTATTATTATATATTTGTTAATTATTTGTTATAATATTGCTTATAAATATTTCAATTATAATAAATTTTAATCTCATCAATTTTATAAGTGTGTAATTATTATTAGTAATATTAAATACCTTATGTTTGCCAATTTGAAGCAGAATTTGATTTATATTAATAATATTCTAATATTTTTTTAGTCTGTTCACAAATGCAGTCAAACTATTAAAATGATTTTAACATAGGAGTAGTTTATGGTAGCAAATTCGTTCTAGTGGGTACATTTGAGAAATCAAAATTGAAAATTTCCAGTAGTTTTCAAGAATTAAGAATAAAGTAGAGTCCTTGTATAATTAGAAACTTTCAAAACCTTCATTTTTCAACATTTATGGAAGAGAACTAAAACAGTTATGAGAAACATTATATTAAAGATCCATGACCTTAATTAATCAGAAGTGATAATAGATTCAGGAGTTTAATCTTCTACAATTGAATGTACGGTGAAATTATCATCTAAAGTTGAAGATCATTGAGAAATTGATGAATAACTCACTACTAAAATATTTGCTTATGTTGCTATTATTGTAGGTACTAAATGTACAAATAATAAGAAAAGAATCCTAGGTTTTTGTACCAAATTTATGTGATGTATTGGATGAGGCCTACAAATTATTATTAGTTAAAACTCAAGATAAAATATACTGTTACTTCTTCTAGTTGAGCTTTAACTTGCCTCTCAAATTGATAATTAGATGTAGATTCAATACTCTTAACCCTTTAACATAGTTTGCTATCGTATAGTTGGCTTCAAAAACATTTTCAAGTTGGCTAGTATTTAGTATTTCATTTTTATGTATCTGTTACCTACTTAATAGGGAGTGATGATTACAATGTTTTACTTAATCACAATTTTACCACTATTTCGATTTTACATTGCGACCGTCGGTACCTCTAATGAATTGTGGTAATAACAAAAACAATATACAAATCACTAATTATTTAGTAAAATATTATACAGATGTAGAAAAATAAGGTGTTAAGACCTTACAGTTTATATTTTTGAATTTACAACAAAATATCAAACTTTTTTTGCTTTACTCTATTGTAGTATACTTGACAGTTGACACCCATATAACTATAGAATTTACTGATGTCAGAGTAAGAGTACTGACACTACAATTTCATGTCAAGTAGAACTCATTATGGCTTAAACTTTTAAAGCAGCGATCCGCGGATCCGCTAGTCGGCAAGTAATTTCTATTGGAATCCGAAAAATTAAAATTATAAATAAATGAGGTCCAGAGGAAAATTTTTTAGTCAAATCTTAATATTTTTTTAAGACGTGCCTAGCATGATATGAAAACAAATAAATTATAAGATAATCAAGATTTTCAAGGAAGAAATTTGAGTGTATATCGATACGTATCGATTATATTTTGAAGTTCAAGAGTTATACATTCAATATACAATCGATACTTACCGACTTGTATCGGGTTTAGACTGCGATACGAGATGGAACTGGTACGTAACTATTCTTATTTCACAGTCGATACGTATCGAATTCTTCTTGAAATTATTGAATATGTTGACGAACCAGTTTTCTGTCTTCCATGCTCCGGATTCGGACAGCCGCAGTCCGCCAGTAAAGTTGCCGGCTGTCGGTTTAAAGTTTTAAATTTCTAAGAATACGACAAAATAGTACCATGGTATA